AGGAAAGGACTGATGAAGCTACCTCTCATTGAAACAATCATAATGGCAAGATAAGAAGGCAGAGAGGTGGAACAACCAGAACAATACTTTGTTCTTTCCTTCCCTAACCCATTTCTCCCAAAGTCATCCCCAGTTCAGGTAATGGACACGTACTTCCATACTTCCGGTTGTTCAGTTTCCAAATCTCAGCTTCCAAATGTTCGTTCTTAACTCCTTCCTTTCAGAATTCACATTTACTCCAACAGGAAAATCTGTTACCTCTCCTGTCAAAATATGTGTAGTCTATGTTTTACCTACTCCATAGAACAATCCTGTGAGAGCTTGGTTAGTAATCTCCAGACTGAACTTCAGAAATAGCCTCCTAACTGGCCTCCCTGTTTCTGTTCTTCCGTCTCCCTGCCCCTACCAGGATCCTATCTCCTATTACACACTGGCCAGGGAGAACCTATAAAAATGCATGGATCATGTCACTCCTGTGCCCAATGTCTCCAGTGACCTGCCATGTCACTCAGGGTGACAGCCAAAGCCCTTCAAGGACCTGCACAACCTGGTCCTCTGTTAGGTCTCTGACTCATCTCCTACTGCCCTCTGCCTAACTCTCCTCCAGCCACACTGGCCTTCTTGCTCATTGAGTACTGCAGGCAGGCTCCTGCTTCAGGGCACTGGCGCTTGCTGTTCTCTCTGCCTGGATGGCTCTTTTCCAGGTATGCACATGGCTCATCCCATACCTTATTCACGGGTGCCATTCTAGACCGCCTACCAAGAACTGCCATTCCCAACCTCAGCCCTTCCTTTTTTCATTTTTTGCTTTATTTCCCTTCATGGAACTTATTACTGGCCACTATATTGCATCATTTGCTTATTTGTTTTATTGTCTGCATTCTCTCACTACACTGTGAACTTCATAAAGGTACAAGTTTGCATCTGTTTTGTCTGGTGATGTACCTAGAGAGCCTATCGTAGAGTCTGGCATATGTAGTTCAGTGAGTGAAGGTCAAGAATAGCTGATAACTATTGACAGCATACACGTTCCATGGGCTGTTCTCTGAGAGCTTTGCTATATCAGCTGATATAATCTTCCCAACAATACTAGGAGATAGATATTATTATTATCCCTATTTTATAGATAGAACACTAGAGGCATAGAACTGTGAACTTACTTTGAGACAAGTAAGTTTCACTCTTGGTTTGATAGAATAAGCTCCTAATGAACCATCCCATATACACTCTGGGGCATACTGCATGTATTAGTTTGCTAGGGCAGCTGTAAGAAAGTACCACAATCGGGCTGCTTAAGCAACAGAAATTTATTGTTTCACAGTTTTGGAAGCAAGGTCACAGTATCAACAGGATTGATCCTTCTGAGGGATGGGAGGGAGAATCTGCCCAGGCCTTTCACCTACTTTCCGGTGGTTGGCTGGCAATCTTTGGCATTCCTTGGCTTGTAGATTCTTCCTATGATTTGTTGTGTATGTCCAGATTTCCCTTCCATATGTTTTGTGGAGCATATAAAAACTGCAGGCCTCACAAAGTCATAAATAAAACTCACAACTAAAAGATTAGGCAAACCTACTGACCTGTTACATTTCAGATGTCTGAATAGTGGAATTCTCTGTTCCAGAGAAAGTTGCGGACCTGATAGTCAGTATTGTTATTACATTAGCAGTATTCCCTTTTGAAGTTAACACCAAGTTTTAATTTTTCCCTATTTATAGTATATTGTTTTCTCCAAATATAATACAAATTTAACTCAGTACTTTAAATGAATCATATTTCTGTACACAAAATTTTTGAGTATTTTTAACACATTAAGCTGATTATTTTAATAAATTAAGCTGATGATTAGAAAATGGAGGTGACACCCTTTGGAAGATATTGGATCATTACATATGTAAACCAATTAGACAGAAGAACCTTGCATATATCACTGGCAAGCAGTAATTGGAGTCCTTTAAGGAAAATTTTTTATTTTTTGTATTTAAATAGTTCTGGATATGCATGGCGAAAAACAATTCATATAAGACAATTCTATTTTGCAGCGTGTTTTTAAAGTGTCTATTAGCAAATTCCTAGTTTAAATTGAAGCATTAGTCAATATTATTCCTCTAGGAATTACTTTCACAAAAATATTTGCTGTTAGTACAGAATGTATTTTATCCCTTAGTAGTCTCTTTTCTTTTGAATAAAAGAGAAGTGTTTGACCTATGATACATAATTTTTGATTTTTATTTTTTACTAGAGGCCCAATGCACGAAATTCATGTAAGAGTAGGCCTTCCTTCCCCCTGCTGCTGGCACTGGCTTCCCTCTGGCACCCGGAACCCGGGCTTCCCTCACAGCCCCGGCTTCTTCCGGAAGGTGGTCAGGTCTAATTAGCATATTATGCTTTTATTGTTATAGATAACTAGAAGATAAAGGGAATAGAGGATAAAGGAAATTTACATTTTAGTCAGGAGTAAGTCTTTCCACAGCTCATAACTGAAATGTTACCAATAAGATAT